AAAAAAGGTTACAGAATATTTGCTGAATTTTTTTTTTTTTTTTTTTTTTTTTTTTTGGGTCTGTGAAGCTCTCGGGACTGAGAAACAAGACTAAGAATCACAGAGCTATTGATTTCTAAGCACAGAGATACTGACACTGCCCAAAACTCTTGTTCATAACCTTCTCTTCACAAAAAGGCCAATTATTTTTAGATGCTTTAGGGTCCTTAATAGAACCTTAAAAACACCCTGGCTGTCTCGCATACATCGAAAGCAATGGTTGAATAACGCACCGTCTTTTTAAAACCATCACTGCAAGCAATAGGAGCGTGCGAATCCCACCGAGTGCTGCGCAGGCACCCAGCCGCGCGGCTGCAGGCAGGACGCTGCCGGTGAAGGCACCAGCACCGCTTCGGCGGGGTCTGCACGGACCCCCGGCAGAACTCCGCCCAGGAAAGCTTATGACAGAGAGCAAGCACAGACTCCCTGCTCCACCCCAACAAACCAACACCACCTTATACTTCAACAGACCTTTAAAAAAAAAAAGAACGTTTACTGCCTAGACAACATCAAAACCTTAAAAAGACAGCAAGTGAAGCTATAACGCCTAGTATAGCCTAGAAATGGCTCAAACATTATATACTACATTCAAATGTCTAATGCCCACCATCACATTAGATGGATGAAATAATTCTTCCAACATCCAAAGGATTTAAAAAATTTGCAAAAATTCTTTGATTAAAGAAATATGTTGCACCCCAGGCCGCAGCACAACAGCAAAGTTATTAGTGTACAAAGTTCAAAATCTGTGCAAGAACACTGGACTTCTGTTAACGACTTCAGAGATCCTGTCAGAAGGAATAACTGTCTTGCAGATTTAATCTTTTTAAATGATCTAAAATAAGTCTTCAAGGAGTCTACACAAACAGACAAGTTAATCCAATCTGTAGTATATTACAAGTTTCCAATTTCCTCTCCTGTGCCTGCTAATATCATGGCATAAACTTGGGCAGTGCAGAAATCCAGAAAGATCTCCGACTAACACAATCATTAACAGAATATCTGCATTTCCCTCAGGTGACAGAAACATTAATAGAATAAATAATTGCAAGAACCTTATCCCAGGCCAATAAGGTTATGGCACATTGCAACAAGTAGTATTCAGTTTCAATAAAAGGAATTAAGCCTTAAAAGAAGAAGATACAATAAGCAAATTGCTCCCTTAGTAATAGAAGTAAAGTTACTTTCCACTTCATAATTAAATAACCGTGTCTTTGAAACTTTTGTGACAACATATCTAATGGAGTTAAAGGAATGAGCACACTCACTATTTACTCCGTAATTTCTTTAGAGCAGGTTAAAATCAAATTGCAAATTATAAGCACACGTTATATTACAATAAATCAGCACATATTAGACTACTTTGATAAATCTTATGAACACCACCAAGATTTTTTTTGTGCAGACTTTTTACAACGACTGACTTGCACTTGGTCTTCAATGTAATTCTGCTGACTGCATGGACTTAAAGTCAGAGGTAATTTAACTCATTATTTTTACTACATACTAGGTGGATAACAAGGTAACACGTAAAAACAGTATTTCCTAAACCAGACCAAATTCAGAAAAGTTTGTTTGACAGTCCGTCCTGAAAAATTCCAACACTTCACGCGCACTTCGTAGTCCTTTTGTACAAATCGCCGATTAACTTGCTTCCTAAAACTGCCAGGGCACTGAGATCGTAGGAGCAAGATTTCAGCAGTGGAAAGAAACAGGCCCCTGGGACGATGATGTTTCGCGTTCTTGCACGCGGCTGCATACTCTGTAGGAATCAATAGCAATGCGGTTGCCAATTTCCATTTACAATGCTGCCTTTAATAACATCAGCCAAATTTCTGCTTCCCTTGTTCACGTTAAAAAGATACTTTATTCAGCTACCTGTTCAGGTTCAGTCCATGGGAATAACCACAAAGTTAATGGGCACATCTCAGTTGCTGTAAATCTGCATAATTTATTGAAGTGGAGCCAGCACAGACTTAAGATTTGGTCTCAAGTTAGAACCAACATTAATAAACGTAACAATAACAGTCTGAATAATACGGTGCCTTTATCAGATGCTCTCAAAGACATTTCCGCAAGTTACTTTCCTTCACTTTCTAATATAGATCAGATATTGAACTAATGCACATGAGAACAGGGCAGAAACTTGTTTCATGAGTATTCTGCTCCATCTCAAAAACACTTGATTCCTGAACTGAAAAAACCAGATAAAATTGCACTTAAAAACTCGGAAAGCATACCCTACTTCACTTGAATAAGGTAAAGTTTCCTCACTTTGCTATGATGACAAGATCAAGAAAACGTTTATGAAGACACTTTCTTACATGTCCTGTGTAAACAAGAAGTCTAAGTCGTATTCCGCTGCCTGATCAGCTGGATGTCCTGGCCAGTGACGAGAAGCAGACCATGACTCTTGGAGGTTCAAAGTTTTAAAGCTACAAAAATAATCTGAAATAAGACAAAGATACCTCTGTAATAAACCCAGGCTTTCTGCAGCCTCTACAGCTTCAAAGGACCAATCTTTAACAGATGATTATAAAAGATAAATGAACACACGCACAAACACAGAAAATACAGAAATTTCATTTTCAAATTGGTAACCATGGGGAACGCGGAGCTGCAGCAGCTTAATGGAAAGTCATCTGCTCTGACAGCACTTTGTTCGACACAGCGTGCTAAAGAAGAGAACAAGGTATTGCAAATAAGCCAGCTGCTCATGGCTGGTGATACACCGGGACACTGCGAAACACCGCTCAAAGGATACTGAAAAGTTACAACAGGCCGCTCTAACAATCCAAGGATGGAGTAATTTAAATGTATGACACAATTCCTTATCATACAATCCTATTAAATTGCTACCCCCCCTCCCAACCAAATCTAAAACTGCAGTAGGATTCTACACATTTAATCTTAAAAATCTACAGGGACAAAATTTTCCCTCAATTATGAAGAATTTCAACTGTGCGTGTTTGGTGTTTTTTCTTTAAAGATTTAATGTCTATACTGCAATGAGAGCGGGAAATGGCCTACACTTGCCGTCCTATTAAAAAACCAGTAACCCGAATTCCATTTTTGCAGAGTTAGAAGTTTATCAAATTTTGACTGTAAATTTCTTTCCATTTTCTTCCAGTTCACTGAAACTGTTGATAAAGCAATCACTGGAATTTTAGGTAAGAACTAAGAACAAATATGATTTTGGAATTTTTATGGACCGATTTTTTAGCTGAGTAGTTGTTTTCAAATTTTGGGAGCGGCAATGAGTTCACCAGACAACACTGTTTTGTAAAGCGACAACAGATCAAAGCGTTATCTTGCCTAATATGCTGGTTCCAACAGTAGCTGGTAGCAGATAATTAAAAAAGAGCACAAGAAACGCATCATATGGGGTTATTATATTTATAGGCTTCCACGCATACGGTTTTTTTTCCTACCCACAAATTTTGCCCAGGCTGAGTTTTAAAAATGTTTACATATGTTCAGGGTTTCAGAACTCGTTTCGGTCCATTAAGAGCTGAGACGCGGCAGTTTCGGCAGCGCCGGGCGAGCGCACAGCGCTTGCACAGCCCAACTGCTCAGCAGATGCACGAGTATTTTTCGCGCTTGCAGACAGAGTATTTATTTGTATCCATCGCACATAGTGTGTACACACAGCAAACTAAATGCATTCAGGAAGTATCACCTGCCCAAGCCACATCTGCTTGAAGTTTAATTAC